TGTACAGGTTCATGATATTTATGCAGATACATAATATCAAGTCAACGCAAGGTAGCCTTGTCTTGAATAAAAATGATGCCTCACACCTCTTGTCAGGGCCACTCTACAACCAGAAGGGTTAAACTGATATCCAAAGTGCCGCATTAGACGATGGATTATCTTGTAGCCAACCCATGTCAACAGCAGGACATGGGAAGAATAAGGTAAGATTATAAAACACATCATAAGCCATTTGGAATCAACATACGGCGCATTCCGCCACAGGTGATACACTATTGTTGTTAAAGTCAATAGCAGAAAGTGAAAACAAAGTGAGAAGTTTGCAATTCCTGACTTACATGGCTTAACATAGGTTAGTATGAACGTTAGAATCAGTAGGAAAAGCACTCCAGCTATGCTTGAATCGGGATCAAATTCCCCAAGAAAATCCTTGAATAACACAAAGAACACAGGCACCACCAACATCAGTCCAGGAAAAGCTCTAAAGTCTTTGGTTCAATTCAAGCCATCTTTGAAACATTTGTGGAGGGCCTCGGTGAAGGCTGTGATCGCCAGTCTTTTCCTGGCATTGAGGAGTCGTGATAGATATCTGCTGTATAGCCTTGTGGGGTATATGGTGAGCAACAGTGATGGTATTAGTGTCACAATGGTGAATGGCACGGCTCCTATCACTATGAATAGGATATGCTCCTTACTCAGCCATTTGATTGTAGGATCGTAGTATAGAACATAAAAGTTTTCTGATGTGTAAATATTTTTCACAGTCGTGCCAGTCAAAACATTAGCCATTGCATTATAAACAGTGAAATATGAGAGTAAAATGAACGATGCAAAGGCGTGAATGACGGCATCACTGGTGACTGCTGTGATGTTGGTCTTGTTGAGGATGATGCTGAATGGCTTCCAGAGAATGTGAATGATTCTGCAATTTCTCGCATGTAGCTCCATCAGAATACATGTAATAATGACCAATAAAAAGTGGGAGGATGGCTGAAGTAAAGTTGATCATTTGTATATGCATTCCTTTGAGAGTTTCACTAATGCAAAATGACATGAACATGAAATCAAGTGTAACAAATTGACTAATGACAAATATAGCATTCAATAATGTAAGGTGTACGGAAGACAAATGTGATTGTATGTAACTGAATATAAAAATGTACTTGTTCATAACAATCCTGCTTAACTGCCAGAATATGAAATAACCAAAAAGAGGGCCAGAGGTAACATCTAGGTGAAATATAATCATACATAAAAACACCAGGGTTGTCGGAATTACCTTTAGAGCTATATATAACATTACAGTATACCCCAAGGAATTTGAACACTTAGCACACTTCACATCATACTGATAGAGAACTGGACCATGTCCATCCTTACACTCTCCACACAGCAAACCCTTTCTGTTGTAAGGTCCACACATTACTTCGTCCAATATGTCAGGATCAGGCATCACAGTGTGCAGTCTGTCCGTTTCATTGTCAACATGACTGTAAGGGCAAGTCCCAATATAGTACTTGTCTTCTTCTCCACCAGCGGTAGCACAGTATCCTTCAATTATCCTTGCTGTTTGATGGCCGACACAGCTAAGAAAGTTCCCACAGCGACATTTGTCCTCATTGAAGTGGAACCAATTTGGACAACTTGTGTTTTTACCAGCAAACACATTCATGACCCATAGTAAGGAGACATAAGCACCAGATATGAGAATAAGACATCATCTGACCGACAAAAGTATCTTATGAGACAATCTTCAAGAAACATTTATTTATTGTCTGTAGGTAGTAGAGTGCCTCACATTGTGGGACATGCCACACTGAATGCAAAAATGTTCGACTTCGCACTATAGCGATTGCGCATGCGCAAAACTGCATGGCCGTCTTTAGAGTGAGTACTATATAGCCGCAAGCTACTCCCTACAGGGAATATAGAAATCCAACCATATTTCAGTAATAAAATAGATGAGCAACCTACGTACATGTATAGCAAAAAAAACTCAACAAAGTAAAAAGCACATGCAGCAACACTGGTTTGTTCATGCTTATTTTGGATGGTGTCACTGTCCTGCCTCAAATGTCTTTCGTGCCACTATGGTTCTTGGTATCCCAGTGCACCGACACTACCAATGCTGTTCTCCTCGGGGATGGTCGGGGTGAGCATGTTGTAGCCTTGCTGCTTCCCGCTGGAGATGCATCTCCTCAGCTCACTCTGGAGACTCCTCGGACAGCAAATGTACAGCTTCTCGTCTCCCTTCTGGAGAATGACCTCCAGATAGGCCCCGCTCTGCACCATACTCCTGTGCACCTCTGAGCACCTGGAAAAACAACCGATACCGTCAGTTACACTCAGTGTCTGAGGAATCTTGCAGGTTTACAAGACAAATACTTTCAGTTTGCACAGTTGTTTCCATTGCTTTGAACTGATCACTATTGTAGCTACATAATGTACCTCTGGCAGTTGACAGTAATGTTTGAAGGCAGCTCAGCCACTCTCTCTGTGACTCCAAACACCGCCTGGCAGTTGCTGCACTGCAATCAAGAAAAGCAAACTCATGTCTATCTACTATAATCTACTCAATAGTTTCAGTAAAACCTTCCGAGCATTAGGAGAGTTTGCCAACTTTTCTTCGCAGACTCGTGCAGCACATCTATAAGGACAGTACAACACGAACAAAAAGGGGAAACATGGTAGAGCTACACATGGACATACCTTTCACATCGCTTCTTTTTATCATGTCCACTTGTGATCTCTTGGGAGATGGTGAACACTCGACCACAGTCATCACACACTACACACGTTCCCACTGTCTTGGCCTGGGGATAGTGAGCTGCTGCGACCTCCCATTCTCTGGCGACTGAAGGCTATACCCATCTGCAGGTCTGCACGACTTGCCAGAGGCTAGAACTGGAGCTACACTGAGGGGAGTAGCTAGGGTTCGTCTGAGTGAGTCAGATTGGGAGGAGTGGAGGCAGGTGTAGTGTCCATATGGCCGGTGATTGATCCCACACCAACTACAGTGTTCAGAGACACCATAACACTGTAATGGAGTGAGCCCACACAATTGTTTCTTGCAGGATACAGCTACTGCATGGCATGAACATATGCAGCACTTTATTTTCCTGTAACTAGTTGTCTTCACTCGTATATATACATTGATGTACAAGCATTCAAACATCATGTCTTAAATCCTCATGCAAAAACTGTCACATAAGATACTCCCACCAAACACATGTGCACACTGAGAATCCATAATTATACATGATTAAAACACTCTAGCTCTCTTGTGGTTGACTATAATAGCTAGGAGTTGACATTAGCAACCATACTCCTGGTTTCTGCCACTCTCGTAGTGTAATTGCCAGGGGCACCCCTCTTCTTGTATGTTGATTATGTCATTCAACCACAACTGATCTTTAGGTCCATACACTGGGTTTTCTCCTTTGTAATTACATCACATGATTAAGCAGGGTCTCCCCATTGACAGTTGAGACGACTCTTATGTGTCTGCACACTGCTCGTGTACACAACAGAAAATAGAGAGCCAACTGCAATGATGTCAGAGTTTTTGGGAAATTGAATTCCTCTTCTTTTATACTGACACATGCTCTAAGGTGTCTAGGTTCCAAGCAAATATGTCGCCGTTGACGGGATAAGCAGCGAATCTCCCGTCACACGAGAGGCAGAATTCATGGCCCAGTACTGAGGGTGTACAGTAGTAAGAGTGGTCGTCGAATGGGCAGAGAGAACACAGGTTCTCCACAATCACTCTCTCTGTGCCACTGTTATCAGGAGGCTCTATGTCCATACTAAAGATGCAAATGGTTGCTCCAAACTGGATCAATAGTTTGTGTCTGGAGCAAAACCCATCCTCGCAAGAGTTTACAAGAAAAAGACGTCATAACCACCTTGTGTATCTGAAAGAAAACGCCGTTATAGTGAGACTCAAACGGGAGAAACGGAAAAGAAGTTTTCAGTTTTGTGAGGCTCTTCCCTGCCCTCCACTAGACGGCATACGAGCAAGTCCCACCACTTTTCTTCTCGAGCGAGCCCTGCTCCACACCCCAACCAGACAGCACTGGGGGCAGCAGGCCAGGTCATAGTAGGCCAGACTGTAGACAGAATCCCTCCAGGTGGCACTGCGTACCTCGCAGGCCTCTCTAGACAGGATCCTGGTCTTTATCCACGTCCCATCGCTCCCGTGGATGAGGACGTGCCTGGGAGAGGAGGCAGACCACAAGACAACAAACACGTGAGACACTGTCATGCTAGTCAGCTCCACCAAGTCCCCCGACTGGTCCAGAGCCCGTATCGAGAGGACGTACGTCCCTACGTCGGAGCTGGCATATACGTCGTGGCTTATGAACAGACCGTTCCAAGAGGGTAGGGCAGGACGACAGGAGAGGGTGGCCTTTGGCAGTTTCCTAGTCTTGTCAGGATATTGCCACAAGACAGACTTTGAACAAGCAAGGGATTTCCTAACTTTGAGCAGAGCCACGGCCAGTGCTTTATACGTGATGTATCTGTCTACCAGTTCTGATAGGAAGGAGGGAAAGAGGCCTAGAGAAAGGGTGTAGTTCTTCCAGAATGCCTGACAATTTGTGATGATCTTGTGCCAGGATCGGGACACTAACAGGCAGCGGAACACATCCCGGGCTTCCAAGAAGCGGAGGATATGCCCTACAATCTCTGGTGGGAGGAGAGACACGAAGTCTCGCTGTAGGAACATCGGGAGGTGGTCCTCCAGAAGACACACCTGCTGTCTGTGGGAAACAGCGCGAGAACAACTTGCACATCAACTCCACCAGCTGGTCCTCTCTTAGATCGTCCACGACAGAGGTGCTCATCAGCGAGTCTTTAAAAGCCATTTTAGTCTATAAACACCACGAGCGGTTCTCTCCTCGAAAGAGCGTGTCCACGCCTATTAACTCGCGCATGCGCAAAAAGAGTTCGCTGATAAACAAAGCGGGGCAAGGAGGCGGGGCCGGGGCTAGTGATAAATCTTTTTTTCCGTGTGGAGGCTGGTTGATTGATGAATGTTTGGATGGGCACCAATGAAGGCGTCTGTTAGGCTGATTCTAGCGGTGTGCTGCGTGTACACCGTCCTATCTGGGTTCCCAAGAGGCGGGGGATTGTCGGACGAGCTCTCCCTGTGTGCCGTGGCTCTCAACCACTCTGTCAACGCCTCCAATACCTCCGACTACTTCAGCCTCTCGAAGTGTACGTGTATATACCATAGATACGATTCCGCCCTTCCCTGTCAAGGAGGGTGCTGTGCGCGCGTTTTTCATCGTACATCCGTACCGTTGAATGACCATCATCATGCAACGCGGCCTTCGCAGCCTGTGTGTTTCTCAGTGTTCAAACTCATGTACAACTAACGGAGACCAGCCTGTCTACGTTATTCTCTTGTACGTGTACACCGTAGGTGCAGAGGCGTGCATGTGCTCTAGTCTGTGGCGGGCTACAAGGGCCCATTGACTCCTGATGTGTTATTCCCAGTCCTGTACTGTGTAACTCCCTCTGTCCCTGTGTGCGTTTTCCTACACGATGTATGTGAGAACACGCTGCTCTCAATCTGCTGCCTTTTTGAGTCCCAGTGTGTTTCTTATTGAGTCAGAGTGTATGGCAGTGTTCCTGGTGTTGTTTTGCATGTTGGACTACTGGCATATCGTATGATTTACGGAATATGTACATAGCAGAGCTATGTACAGAGCTATATGTACATTAGTGGGGACCTTCCATGCTTTTAGCAAATCTAATCCTCATTCCCAGTGGGGAGATAGTAATGAATGGTTATGAAACTATATACAGACAGACATTCAAGTGAAAAACCTTTCATAGTTTACGAACCACTGCAAAGTTTTGTAGACAGAGACTTTTCTTTTTCGCGACCAGCAATTTGCCAGTGTTTCTCACTGGGTAATTTTCTTCAATCTTTTAATAAGCTCACAAGCATACTGTCATATATAGTACTATCTCACCCCGTTGGTGGTGGTAGCAATATTAGTGTACTATTCTTTGTAACGTAAGATCACAGCTACGTACAACTTTTGCTAATAATATCTCCACTAGTCGGTGATACAGCTCAGTTACACACACACTGTCTGTGTTCATGGGGAGTAAGAGAGGGAATCCAGTAGGCTGCCACCAGACAGGAAGACCACTATAATTATGGTGTACTCCAGTATGAAACCTAGTGGAGGTTGGGGGCACACCAACACAGGGAAAGCAATTTGGAAAAGAGCTTGAGTCTGACTCTGGGCCGAGTGCATGTATGAAAACCACAGCTACTGCTGTGCGTATAAAGTAAGCAATGGCTCTCATCATAAACTGGACCGGTATTTAAAATGTTACGTAGATGAGTCCTAATAGCAGGTAAATTGTTCCTCCGCCACATGTTATGTCCACCATGGAAACGTTTGAAGTGTACATATATAGTGTGTGTGTGAGAATTAACATAGTAATATTTCCCTCTCTGATCCTCCTACGGTCGTTTCACTGTAGGCATGTGCCTGATGTCACTATACGTGTGTTCTTTCTATTGTTTTTCTTTCATTAGTAGCATGTGTCCCTATGCTTTCATCCAACTCCATATGCACACCACTCATCTGTACACATACACATGTACATAATAATAGTGATGTAAGGATGGCCCATTGTGGCCTGATTCATTCACATGAACCCTTGATGTACGGTCACAACTACAACTTATTCTTTCTCAATGTCCTTTTACATATTAGTATGAGGGTATAGCTAGGTGACCAAATATGTAGATGTAACTCCCTTCAATGTTGCTTGGAGTATGGCGTTAGCTTTAAGTTGGCTTGAAGTATGCCACACTGATCCCATTAACAGAAACACTTTGTTTTCACTGCACACCACACGCACATGCACCCACCTCAGCTGTGTGCAGAGGGGGATGACTACTACACAGGCTGCATGGACTACCAGGGGACAGTCTTCATAGAGTCAGACTCTGTTTCCCACACCGGGGCCTCCTCAGTCATACGGGTGGCCATTAACCCCAACGCCACTGCCGGCCAGGAAGAATTCTACTACACATTCTGCGTCTCGTACAACGAGTCCTTCACGTACGAGCTGGTAGCGTGTGCCAGTAACGAGGGGGAGGAGTTTCAGATCCAGCACACCTGGGAGAAGAACGGGCTGGCCCAGGTGAGGGTGGGTGTCTTCCCCAACTACTACCACGGAGAGCCCCTGGGCTGCAATGCCACCAGCACCATCGTGGCAGGTATGTATATACTTACCATGTAGCCACAAGACTACTTACATACTAGTCAAAATACTGAATTATACGGGCTAGACTTGAAACGGCATACATATTCATAGTCTAGCACAGGCAACACTACTTCAAAGCCTCTTTCTCAGTTTGGTTGTGGTATGTGCCTTGACTTAATGTGCAAACTCCCACGGTGCATGATATTGAGGGGCGACTAAGTGCCTTCAGCAGATATTGCATTATTAGTTTCATGTCACCTTCACTCGGAAGTGTTTTTTTGTCCTATTTATTCACTATTGACGAGACACAAATTGGACCACGTGTTTTTGGGTGTAGTGGGTACAATATTATACCCTGTGTGTATGTTGCAGTGCCCAGACAGGACAGCCATGGCGAATGCTGTCCTGTCTGGGTACTGCAAAGATTTGTTGGATATCCCTAGGCAAATGACATGTATTAACCCAGATAATTATATGAGCCCTTTTAGATATCCCTAGGCAAATGACATGTATGAACCCTGCTTGCACATGTAGGATTGTATAGGCTGATAAAATCCCCCAGTACCTAGCTTCATACATGTCGGTTGCCTAGTGATATCCAACAAATACACATGCACACTGTTGTAATCATTTCCTCGTCGTCGGTACTGTCAAGGCCCTTTTTAGGGAGCAAATTGTCATTGCACCTCACTGTGTGTTTGATTGCCCCGTGAATGGCTGTGTCAATCACACTACTGTTCTTTGACCGCAGGGAACTTTGGTCTAAAGCTTGGCATGAAGCTGCATAATGACAAACAAACTTTTTCCAAGAACCCGCCCCCTTTCTCCTCCTCCTTCCCCTCCTCCATCCCCTCACCCGTCACCAACAGCACCAACAACTCTTACGTCACCGGGAACCTGACCTTTGAACCTATAACAGAGTTGACAATGGGAAGCAGCAGTTCCAGTGACCAGACGACATACCGCTATATTTTCATCTATGATTACGGGGACAACTCGTCGTTGGAGGAGATTTCATATTTCAACTCGTCCCATCTCTACGAACGGCCCGGCAACTACTCTTATGCAGTGGAGGGTTTTGCCGTCTACAGTAAAGACAATATCAAAGCCTACTATGGTCTGCACACGGGCATTATAACTATACTAGGTGAGACTGTAATGTGTGTATATACTTATGGATGGTGGTCATTAACTGATGGTAGCAGTGGTAAACATGTATTGTAGGTACCACAGGATATCCTAGAGCTGGTGCCCTATTTTTGCTTACATTCTAACACCGACTTCACCCATTTTGTTTTACGCTACTGCTCACCAAAGATATTAGCACAGTGTCGAAATGCATCAATAAACATGTCTCCAAACTGTCCATGGACATTAGTGAAAAAACTCATCGCAATTTACTATGCATGGAGGGAAATGTAAACACAAGCAGTCCTTGTTAGTGTATGTCTACTCTACGCTGAAGTAACGATGAGCCAGGAGGTGTACAGCTACTGCTAGGTGCGTGTATCTCTGTTTATCCAGACCCGGTGTCCAACCTGAGCGTTCGATTCAACAACAACAACTCCATCGTAGCAGACACTAAGGTCTACCTACACATCTGTGCCAATGGAAGGTCAGCTGAGCACACCCACAGTCCAGTTCTCTACTGTGCATGTCCTGTACATACATACGTAATGTTATGCGTGCTTGGTATGGATCCATCGGAAGTCAGTAATAAAAGATAAAGTGTTGTGTATGCAGAGGAGGAAACAGGTTTTCGGGATTGTCATAGACTGCTACGTAGTAAACAGATTTCTCCTTAAAGGTTTTCCACAGCACTTTAGGCATTCATTGACTCATTACCACAACTGTCTCCTGCAGTTTCCCCATCTCTGTGTGCTGGACGGTGCAGCCAGTCAACAGCAGTAGTAACTCCTCAAACCCCATCACCACCTCCCAGTGCCCCTCCTCCTCCAATAACATCGCCACCTGTCACTCCATCTCGCGGGAGTACCCCTGTCCCAGCTACGAGATGAGTTTCTCTGAAAAGGGCCGCTACGACATGATTGTCACCTTTTCCAACAAAGTCAGCTGCTCTCGTGTGGTATACACCTTCCATGTGGTGGCTGGTGAGTATGTATATAGCTATATACGGTATTATGGTAGTGTGCCAACCTTTATTGCACACACTGTGGTATGTGGAAAAATTACTCGGTCTGCAGTATAAATAGTTTTTGTGTTCGTGATTTCAAGGCTAAATAATTTGTCAATCAAAAAAGAGCTACATCTCGAAAATACCGGCGGTGTTATTTCCTTTTTTAGCCCCACTGCGGTCTTTTAGGGCGTGTATATACATAATGGCAATGACTGTTGCTATTTCTTCTTGGAGTGAAAATGTTCTCTCTCTAAATAAGGAGTGTGTGAATGCATGATGTATATACAAGTTCTGTACAATAATCTAAGCACGTAAGCACTGGCACGGATATGAATGGCACATTCACAAAAACACAGGGCAATTAACGTAGCATAAAGGGTGTGGGGTAAATTTTGCCTCTCTCTTTCTTCACTGTCTCTTTCAGCTGCGAAGCCTCCGATAGTGGCGACGACGACCAGTGTGGGAGTGGTGCTGGCCATAGCTCTGGCTGTGGTGGTGGTACTTGTCATTCTGGCTGTTGGAGGATACCTCCCTTACAGGTCAGCTACTCCACAATGTCTGTCCACTGGGACATTGATTGACCCACTATACCAGCAGAGTGTATAGTTGAACTGTTGGTGTGTATTGATTGGTTTTAAGAGAAAACTTTGAGCTTTTGAAGATAAGACTTTGACAGGCTTACCACCTCTGTACACATTACACACATTCACAGCAAGTTTACCACTGTACTATAGTGCGCGTACTTGACACTGTCAGATAATATGGGTGGATGGACACTTTAATCTACTTTTGGCCTACACATTCTTTGAAGGCAGGCATAGTCTCTATTGGGTTAACATTTGTGTTGTGAGTATCACTATGGACGTACCTTCGCACTACAGCATGCACATAAGGACAGGCTGCCTATGGGTGACAGTGCCTGTAATTTAAGGCTAAGACAGGCGCGGTTGACAGGAAAGACTGTCTGGTTATCGTAATAAATTTGCCTCGTGTCATTGCCTCTCTGAACACAGTCACACACAGCTCATTATTCTATCCAGCCAACCAGTGTAAGGCTATGTATGGACATCCAGTTGTTGTTTTTTCCTTCATTGCAGGCGCTACCGGAACCACATGATAGAAACGGCAGACTTCAAATTCATTGACCTCTCGGAGAGGAATGTGTCAGCGTGGAGCAGATTCAAGACAGAAGATACGGCGGGTGGTTCACTCCCGCGGGAACACTGATAAGATAGGTCTGGTGAACCTTATAGACGAGCCACGCCGAGCTTCTGGCAGTAGCAACAGCTCCACCTCCTCCTCTTCATCATTAGGCTCCTATAATAATTACAATACTGTCTAGTGCACGCACCCCACAGTCGTCATGGTTTCTCCACTGTGTGTGTGTGTGTTAATGTGAGGTGCCCCTGTAATATGTCTGTTGGTGATGTCTGTGTGAATGGTGCCTATGTGATTTTCATGTGATTTTGTAGTATTCTTGTTGTTATGTTGCTGTTCTTTTCATGCACTGCATATTAATATAATATGTATGTAGTATGTGCTTTTTGATCACTGCATTCAATATTACAAAACCTACCAAAAATATTGCGCAAATTTGTAGAAAGTCATAATTATTATGTGCTAATGCATGTGACATAATGTGTATATATAGGAAAGAGGAATGTTGTGTGCACAACTGAAGCATAAGTATATGTGTTGTACAGTGGTAAAGTGATACTGAATGTGATGGACTCGCTAAGTGATGAAATTGCTCTTTACGGCACACTGTACATATGTACATAACATGTATATACATTCTAGAGTGGTTGGGAAATGCTACTAGGCACACTTCCAGAGACAGATGGCAGTGTTCCCGCCAAAGAACAGGTAGAGAAGGTTCTTGCAGTCGTAGGCAATCTCGAAACCAAACCCCATCCCCACCACCGCATGCCACGTGGCTCCAAACTTCTTGTCCATCGTCTCCTTTATCATCTTTGCTGCACCCTGCACACATACTACACATACCATAGGGATCTCAACGTACTGTATAGCAGTTGAAAGCTAATTGACAGGCTATCCAAAAAAGAGGAGTGTCTGCAATAATTACTGGCTATAGAGAGGTCTCACAATAGCCATTGTTTTTGTGGTCGTCATGGTAATACACATGTGTGCACCAAGTTTCACCTCCATGCCAGCCTGTTGAAGTGCTAACCTCATTGCTGCTGGCATGTTTCTCACATGCGGTGACACACAGCTCCATAGCTTCCAGCCTCATCTCCTCGTTCATGTCAGAATACTGAGGACATACGCATACACTTGCAACTTTAGAGGGCTAATTGCTGGGGCTTACTCTAATGAGAGGAAAGTTGTGCAGCTTTCTGTTGTAGAATCCTAGGTCTGACTCCTCGCCGCCAGTTGCCGCCGCAGTAGTCTCCCCTGCAGTCCCGGCACCACCCTCTCCACCGCCTCCTGCCTCTTCAGCCATGGCGGTCGGCTAACTCTGACGGTGGTCGAGCAGGTGTCGAGTGGGCACTAAATAGAAACCAGAGCCGAAAATGGCGAGCGAAGCGGCGTAGAGTTCCGTTACGAAGTACACACCGGTCATTCTAACCTTACGCGAATGGCTGTTCTCTTGCAGGCAAACAGCCAACAGCCAACGGTGCACGGATCCGAACAGCGGACTGGAGGTGTATTCGTTTCTATGGTTACTAGCAGAAGGGGCGGGGGGAAGCGGGAAGGGGGGAGGAGCTGAATTTGCGCTTATAGACAACCGCGCTCTGCGTAATGCATGTTGCATTTATTTATGGCCCATCCAGGTGAGAATTTGCATACACGATACAGTGTTTGCTGTTATGCTGGCATATCCTAGGACCTGCAACAGTGGGGAGTGAGGAGGGTGAGGAGGGAGGTAGTGAGGCAGAGAGTGAGGGAGGAGAGGAGGAAGGAGAGGACAAAAGACTGTCTCCTGACGAGTGTGCTAAGAGGAGAAAGTGGGAGAGGTATACACTATCTGTGGTGTGTCCTAGTACCATTGTTTTAGCTTTATCCACCAGAAGAAATTAGCACAAAGGTGTGTTGCGTCTCTGTGTGACAGTGTGATACAGTGTGTTGTGACACTGTGTGTACAATGCCAATGATAGTGTAGTGTGTCCTGTGCAGGGAGCAGGAGGAGCTGAAGGAGAGACTGGAGGTGGAGGATGGGGAGGAGGTGGCCAGCTGGGAGGGGGACACACTCCCATTTGCTCGTCTCACCACCATTGCTGGGGTGGACATCTCATTTGACAAGGCTCACCCTGACCACGCATGTGCCATGTTGACTGTACTCACCTACCCTCAGTTGAAGGTATTACATACTCTGTATGATACTCTACGTGAGTACATATATCATGTACATACAGCTGTAGGAAATTGAGAGAGGGAAGGAAAAAATTACTAGGGGCCCAACTCGGGTCCTTCTCAATTGGTGAAGCTTTTAGTTTCGTCTGTGGGCTGTATCAGCAAGAAATGGACCACATGGCTTGTTTGCAGTGTACGGTAATTTCACGGGCCATAGACCCTAACTTACTGTGCCCCTCCAACTATGCCATTGTGGTAGAAACTAAAGCATCAATCATGTTCTAAGCCCCTGTCATATGTACAATATCAGGTGGTGCATGAGAGCAGAGCAGTGGTGGAGATGAGAGCGCCTTACATCCCAGGGTAGCCTCGTCCCCAGGCCCCACCCGCGAAAGTATACGCATACTCTTGGCCCAACCCATCATTAACAGTACGCCATGCACAGTGCGCCGAGGGTTTGCACTTTAGTGCTTTTCATTAAATCACAGGTTTTATCACTATTTTTATACAACACTAAGAATCGTCTTTACCCATAAGAGTGTAGCAATGTACAGTTCTTGCAGGGGACCCTACTAAGGATTGAATGTCATATATTAGTTATGGTAGGTTTCCACTTTCAAACACAAATATATCCATGCACGGCAATGGGTAGGAAGTTCTTGAGTACTGCGTAAACTAAGAGAGCCATTATCATGATTATGCCGACAGTGGCCGGTACCTGGGCGGAACCTGAGTCCCTGTCCTCACGTTTGTGGCAAAGTGCTCACAGTTGGCTGAGAGCAAGTTGTATTTTTCACGGCCTAATTGTTTCTGCTCTCTCAATGATCTTTTGTTGGCTGTAAAGGGACTACTGTCTTCAGGAGGATGATCTTGTCGGTGTGTAACAAACATATCCTCACTGCCGATTGTTGCTGCTCCTCTAGAGAATGTGTTGAGCAAGAGTGTCTGCTCTGAATCCCTATGAATGGCAACACATGATATGTCCTTTACCCCACCCTAGGCTATTTGCTCTCGAGAAGTACCTCAGGAAAGAGAAGCGGACTGGAAAATGAATAGAATCACCAGCTTTACTGCCTATTTTTATACAACACTGAGAGATCGTCTTTACCATAGAGTGTAGGAGTGTACATCCTGCGGGAGCAATCAATCATTCGTTGAATTAAGAGGATTCGACACATTGTTGGTGGAGCAGTTCAATATTTCGCGTGTGTTTTGAGCGTATTTAGAATCACGTAGAACATTACGGTATGTGCAGTGCCCGACAGAGCCGTCACATACATGATGAATTTCCACTACGTAGGCTCGCTTTGCTCTCGCCAATAATCTCATGTAAATGTTCATGCATGATGGTTAATTTCCACTTCTTTCGACAACAAAAATATCCATAATGTCATTAAAATGGTTATCATTTCCACCACTTACAAAAAATCCGTGCATGTCAAAAATGTCAGGTTATCATTTTCCACCACTTACAAAAAAATCTGTTCATGTCCATAATGTCATTGACTTGATGTTTATGGCTTCCACCTCTTTCCAGAACGTACACAATGGCCGACACAATAATGACACACATTGCTCCAGTCCATGCACCAACAGAGACCATGATGCTCAACAGGCTGACAGTTTCCACCTGGAGTGACACTGGAGTCCCTGTCCTCACCTCCGTGGCAAAGTGCTCACTCGTTGGCAAAGAGCAAGTTGTAGTATGTCACCGATATCGCTGTCTTGCTCTCTCAAGTGATCTCTTGTTGGTTGGTAGAGGACGATAGTAGACCAATAAAAGCGGATGATCTTGTGGGGATTTGTGTAACATATAATGTCTTGCCTACTACAGATCTGCCGGTTGCTGCTACTCTCTGTGGATCGACTGTATAGTGTTGTCAGCTCACCACATTCACCACTATCATGTGTGGTCGTACAAGCGTCTGCATATCACACTGGATGTAGGCTCACCCCTGGCTTTAGTATCATCCAGACGAGTGTTAGTCCCTCAGTCGCTAGACTGCTGGCACCCGTATTAAACAAATAGCTCCGTCACATATGCCGCAACGGCTGGACTGAATGTCTGAGTTAGCAATATTAGGTAGTCATTCCCACGAGGGGTTCCCCACACCATGTCCGCTATGAGTGGTCGCCTGTAGGTACTAGATAGAGCGTGCCTCATGTCCTGGAGCACAGACCCTCCTCACTACCACACACGCATCGTGGAATTGGGGTATGCCCGAGCTTGCCCTCCGACAACACTTTTGCCGTTTGCAACAAAGCGCTCGAAGTGTGTGTGCTAAGAATGAGCGGAGTATGCGATGCAGAGGGTGAGTGTGTTCACTGATCCATCTTCTGAATCAGAGTTGCTCATACTCTCTATCTTCCTGCTAGCTAAGCATCAAACCCACTGAGAGGCACTACCACCGACCAGCGCACAGCCATAGCGCCCGCACTCCACTTGCAGCCCGACGTCTAACCTTCACTGAGCAGTCCATGACCTGGATACTGAGCTTCTCCCCAGTCTGACGTCACCTCTGATGACAAGTATACTACGGTCTCATAGAGTCCGCGTTGCTGTATGTACAATATCAGGTGGTGCATGAGAGCAGAGCAGTGGTGGAGATGAGAGAGCCGTACATCCCAGGGTTCCTGGCCTTCAGAGAGGTGGACTTCCTTCTCGAGAGACTCAGAGAGGTTCAAAGACAACACCCACAACATTATCCTCAGGTAACTACAGCGAGAAACTGAGTTTGCTTGGTAGAAAAGAGGTTCTGTGAGATTTTCCCGTTCCACTGTACAAGTCCCCACTGACAAAACTTACGAAGAAACCTTCACAGCTATCTCTGAAGATTTACCATCATTTCCATTGGAAAAGTGGATGTGTGTCAGAATTAAAGTGTTTACATAGCTTCTTTGCCTGTGATAGGTCATATTGGTGGATGGAAACGGGATCCTGCATCCAAGAGGTACACGTATATATTACTGTACACATAAAGGGACTGAGTGCATTGTCATGTTTTGGGGTTGTGTTGCCATTGATGAGAGTGGTCTGCTGTGTATGTCCCCTATGTCTTGAAACATTCCAGGGGCTTACCCTTCCTTTTAGGTTATAATTATATGCTGTGTAATTTTGTTTGCAGCCAGCACGCTATTGCCACATACATACATACCTGTGCATTGAAACGGTACAGTGCCAGGGTTATACCCACCTTTTGGCTAATTTGCAGTGATGGTTGTGTATGTGTAGAGCTGCAAGTACTAATATGTACCAAGAGAGAGAGGAGAAATCTTTCATGGATTTTACATCATAGAACCGTGTGCTGAAGTCTTACCTGGAAATTCTGTTTGTTGCAGGGTTTGGTCTGGCCAGCCACCTTGGTGTCCTGGCTGACATACCGATGTGGGGTGGGCAAGAAACTCATACCACGTGGACGGCCTCGAGAAGGGCCCTGACCACAAACAAAGAGTAAGCCTTCCCCCATCACCTGGGTTCATTCTCTAGTGTTTGTTACTAGATCCAGACTCAGCTGAGGAAAAGAGGCGACTATTTCCACCTCATAGGAGACTCTGGCATGATCTGGGGAGCTGTACGTGAGTGAGAGCTATGTATGTATGGCACACAGTCTGCCTATTGCACGTTATATCCTAGTTTTGGCATCATATATCAGGTAGCTTGCAAGCAACAAGTTGCCAGAAATATGTGTAGCTACATGTTTGAATGACAAGAACTTGGGTAAAGCTGCACAGGCAACTTGCTTGCCTCGTAAATAGTTATGGCTTAACATAATTCTCTGTTAGGGATTTATCTAAGTGACACCTGTTGCTGGCTATGCTCCCACAGGCTGTGCGTACGTCAGCTGAGGCCACCAACCCAGTGTATGTGTCAGTCGGCCACAAGATCTCACTGGAGACTGCAGTGCGTCTGGTCCTGCTGGCTGCTCCGCCATAGAGAGTGCCCTAGAGCCTGTCAGACAGGTGCATCGCTACTCACTGCCATGTAACCTGACACTGTAGGTGTTTCATCTATAGTTCCCCACAAGGCGGATCTGCGCTCAGAAATGAATCCTCTCAGGAAGAAAGAGAAGATAAATGAACATCGGCAATATAGCTAAACAGTATAATGTTTCTCTTTATTTTGTATAACAGGAGAAGTATGTGTGTATGATATAAAAACTATGATCGAACCTGGCGTTGCGTGCCTTCGTGGTAGCAGCTATCCTAAGCATTTCGAATTGACCGTCAGAGTTCTGTCGTCCTGGGGGGGGGGGGGGCTCTGAAGCACGCCCATGGTCTTGAATCATGTCTCTCCCTTCGCTCCAGAGGCCAGGAGCGGCCATGAAAATGTGTTGGCGTTCGCTAGGTCATCATGCCGCCGGGAGCATCCCGCGCCGTACCGCTTTTCCCAAGCAAGGCCAACATACGCAACGTGGCCTTCTCTTGTGCCGCGTAAACCTGGCATTGGGCCTCTCCTGCTCTTGCTCAGCAGTCTACTCGTGGGGGCCTCCGTTAAGCGTGCAGCTCTCCTCTTCGGTCTGCTCGACTTGTGAACGCTGGACTTTCTGCTCTTCTCTGCTGCCTCCTCGTGATCTCTCAGTGGCAAAGTGCTCACTAGTGTCCAGAGACGGTTGTAGTCTTTACCAATCCATGTCAGGCCTCCATCTATATATC